ACTTCAGAGAACTTATAAATGAACACCTGTAACACGCTCAGCGTCACACTTACTGCTCAGCTTAGAGGAATCATTCAAACAGGTGAGTAGAACATTGAGATGCTTTAAAATGATTAAAAGGCCAATGTGATTTTGTACATGGTTTTTATTTCAAGAAGTTTGTTTCTAATCAAACTGCTTCACTTAGTATGTGTCCTTGATAAGAGCATGGATGCCAAACCATATATTAAAGTAACAGATAAATAATTCAGATTTGAGGGATGAGGGGTTAACTCTGTTTTGCAAGAAATTATCAAAGTGAGAAATAGACAGAGGTCTGTTTACTTTCTCTTCGCTTGACATTGCGCACATCTTCATCTTCATCTTCATTATACATGGAGTGACTTTATTTAATAACAAACGGTAGCATTTCTGCGTGTTTTAGCTGTAAAACAACAAACATATAAACATATCTACAGTGACTAGAATTCTGCAAAGGACAAATCTGAATTTTTTTTTAGGAAAAAGAATTTTTGGTGGGTAATTACAATATGAGTTTTCATAAAAGATGATAGAAGTGTTTGAAATTTCCAAATCAAACATTTAATACCGTGTGCTTTCATGCATTATTGGATGCAGTGCAATACAATAATCAGCAAAAATCATCTCATCAGAATTTTAAAAATCCAAATCAACATCAGTACAGTGCTGTAATCCACACCTGATTAAACCCTCAGAAATGTGTTTTTTGTAAATTCTGTAATATAGACTTCATTTTCCAGTGATTGCCCAAAGAAAACTACAATTGATTAGTTGTGACATTTCCAGGGACGAGCATCTTTGCCAAAGATTACTCCTCCTGTGATTAGTCCCACCGGAGCATTTGTGGCCTGCAGCAGAAGCACGTCAGAAACATTGCCCACTAAGGAACAGAGCTCACGAAAGGTCTGTATTATAGCAGAACAGTTCCCTTGATGGCAAGGAACAGTCACAGCGTCTGGTTTTTATAGTTCATTACTGGAGGTAGCTCAGGTGTGCTCCATTTGAAAACTCTTGCACTTTCACATTGTTCAAATCAGGCTGACTACGAGCTGCTGCAAACATTCCCGAAGCCCAGAACAAAACCTGATATTTATCAAAAAGAAAAAAGCTGCAGAAGAAACATCAAAA